CTTGTACAGATCAGATCATTACAACACGTTTTGCTGGAAAAGCTTTGCTGTAAACCCTGGCAAGAAAAGATTGTTGCAGACCATGATAATGAGACCCCCCCCCCCCCTGTTATGCACACTGTTATGCACTATATCACTATTACATGCCATTACCTTTCTTCTTTAACTTGGTTGGCAGATACTGCATGTTCTTGGTCTGTGCTCACTGCTCTCACCAGCTTGCCAAGCGTTACTCTTGTGTCTTGTTTCCATCTCTCTGTGCTTTTCTCTCATGTCTCAACCAGCTGCAGCGGATGGACAGCACCTCCATGAGGCCGGTTCTACCAGAGGTCTCTTCCTGTTCTTTCTCTTGATGGCTGCCAAGTGCATGCTCATTGGGCTTTTCTCTATAATACTGTAGGGATTTTACCTTAAATTTAAAACACCGTGAATATGACTGTTGTTGTGGCCTGCACTATATAAACTGAATTAAACTGAGTAAATAACCGTTTGGTTGACCCTTCCCCAAACATACACCAAAGCCAAAAAAACTCAACCAAACAAGCAAATACAAAATAGCTTGACTGGATTAAACCGCAAACCTCTGGTAGAGACAACCAACAAATTCAGCCCCTTTATGCTTCTAAAAGAATTTCAATGACATGCTGTGCTTCAGAAGCAAAAAGTTGGCAAAAATGTCCTTGCCATTTCAGAAACCTCTTAAAAAGTAGGCAAACTATCACGTCTACCTGGAAATAGAGACACAGAAGAAACCTTTGTGCAAAGAGGCGAAGATAAACAAGATGAAAGAGGAGCCGGAGATGAAAAAGCAAAGAAAGACCAGAAATTGAAAATCTGAAAGTGAACCCAAAGTCAAAGTGCACTCAACATTGAGCTCACAGTCTTATGAGACAAGGAATGTCTTCCAGCTGGCAAGGGAGGACACAGAAGAAGAAAGGAAAGCCTTTAGGAGAGGACTCAAGAGTGGTCTTTAGCAGGAAGACATTCAACATAAAAAGAAAGAAGATGGTCATGGCAAGAGCGGCCTACAAGAAAAGTCAGACTTTCAAATGATGAGGGAAGTTTTCCAGCTGGAGAAACTGGACATGAAAACAAAACCCCACTTTGAACAAAGAACCAAGGATGCACTTATGGAGGGCTTTGCATGGTGAAAACAATGAGATGATTGATGATATTAAGTCTTTTAAGATAGAAAAGGATGAGACAGCAATGTTGAGAAAGGCCTATTTCCAAGAGAAGAAAGACATTCAGAGCATTGCACAGGCTTGTAGTTGGAGAAGCAAAGCACAGAAAAAGAAAGAAGAAGATAACCTATACTGAAGAAATTATGACTTTAAACTAAAGAAAGACAACGTGAAAATAACTACAACGCACAAAGAGGAAACCCAAAAAAAGGATGGCAGAGAGTAGAAAAGGAAGAGTTAGCTTTAAAAAGGAAGGGCTACATTCAGTTAAAGACGGGTATCAAGAGTATGTGATGCTTTCCAGCTGAACAACTAGAAGGAATAGAAAGAACAGCCCGTGTTAGGAGCTTAAATTCAAGTGGACGAGGGGCTTTAAAACTAAAAGACAGAAAGGTGTTGGAGACAGAAAACAAACAATGACAACAATAACGGAAAAAGAACAATTTACTGGACTTATTTGTCACCACACACACAGGAACCACTTTGTCAACAACTGAGGTTTTCTTTGAGTCAAGGATGGAAATCCTCACAACCAAGACACTCACTGTGCTGTCAAACTGCTTTAGTGCTAAGCAGCCAAATGTGAGCTATTTAATTTCACAGAAAATCACCCACCCATCCACCCACTCATCCACCCACTCACCCACCCACTCATCCATCCATCCATCCATCCATCGACCCACTCATCCATCCATCATCCATATCATCCATCCATCCATCATCATCATCCATCCATCCATCATCCATCCATCACTCATCATCCACCATCCCACCACTCATCCACTCCACTCATCCATATATCCACTCACTCATCCATCCATCCATCCACTCCCATTCATTCACTCATCCATCCATCCATCCATCTCCATCCATCATCATCCATCCCATCATCATCATCCATCACCATCATCCATCCATCCATAATCCATCATATCATCCATCCATCATCCATCCATCATCCATCCATTCATCCATCCATCCATCCATCATCCATCCTCATCCTACATCCATCCATCCATCCATCACACATCCATCATCCATCCCATCCATCCATCTCACCCATCCACTCATCCATCCATCCATCCATCCACCCATCCATCCATCCATCGCATCCATCCATCCACCATCCATCCATCCATCATCCATCCATCCATCATCATCACTCCATCCATCCATCCATCCATCCATCATCCATCACCATCCATCCATCCATCATCCATCCATCCATCCACCATCCAATCCATCCATTCCATACATCCATCCATCCATCCATCCTACATCCATCCATCCATCCATCCATCCATCCCATCCACATCATCCATCCATCCACCCCCATCATCACTCTCTCATATCCCTCATCCACCCGTCTTCTTCACCATCATCATCGAACTGAAATTTAAGGGGAGAGTATAGGAATTTTGGAACTGGAACCTTCTTGCAGTGAAGCTATGCTATCAATTTTAAAATAAATTCACTGGAATTTGTACGTTTTTAATTGACACTGCAATACATTTATTAAACTATTTGTAGAATCAAAATGCTATTTTATGTGTATGTGAAAACAATGAGAAAGCCCCAGTTTAAAATACCTGGCACACTTCTTCATTCAAATCACTCTCAGTCACTTCACACTTCAATTCATTCGTTAACACATATTTCAAACATTTTCATCATATTCCTGCTGACTTTTTTAGGGTGTTGCATAACTTCTGCCTTTTAAAGTTTACTATGGCATGATGAATGAGGAGCACGTCTGCAGCAATAATATTTGTAAAGGAGAAAAGGAAACGCAAAGATATGGATAGAGAGGGAGGCTTTCTGCATATTTCAACAAACAAAAAAAACTTGCTGGTGTTAAAACAGCCATCAACACAATGATACGAAGGAAAAGCAAAGCATTTGCAGTAAGCCCACGTTTGAGCATGTACTGATGAAAACTGATGTCAAAGCACCACAGCAAACCATGAAACATCCCTAATTACAGGGCTTTTGACGTGTAGCCACTTTGCATTTAAATGGAACAGCTATAGTAAACGGGGCATTTTTAGAGAACAACTTCACACCCAACTGGAGTGTGCAACAGGGATGAGCTAAAAGTAAGCATATTGCTTTAAGTCAATGCTATAGGGAGGAGTACAGCACGTTATATGCGGTGCAGAAAGATCCTCAAACCTTGTGGTCACACAAACATAAAAGATTATGTATATTTTTAGAACAATCACATGCACGCATACACCCTGATGGCACTTTATTTGACCTTTTGTGCTCTTTTTCTTAAACTCAGCAAGTGGCAGAGAAGGAGAAGACAGAGAGAGACCTTTAATTTGAGGACATGAGAGAAAACAAGGAAGATGAGAGAAGACCTTTATGTGTATGTAATTGGTCTATAGAGGAACTGCCAGCATGCGCACCACAGGTGGCCGCCAGCCCGGTTTAAATAGCCATCCTCATTAAGTCCTCTGAGACATGCCGTGCAAACAGAAAGAGAGGGTCATGAGTGGCATCTGGGACCAAAAGTACGATGTTTCTTTAATTCATCATTCCCATTTACTGCATAGTACAAGTTTACACACGGAGGTACTGTATACATGTTCAAAGACAGTGATGAAAACTCTGATTAGCCAACCTCCAGTCAGTCAACGATTCGCTCTCAGTGTTTAATCACAGACTTCATTTCTAATATGGTTGACTGAACTAGAAAAATATTCAGCTGATTTAAAGCAATAAAACTGCCAGTCATAATATCACTTCCTTTTTTTTCTTTAGTTACAAAAGTAAGTTGACTGACTGGACATTAGACTTTTTCTACAATTAAAAGCAGAGAGATTAGCCATTGAAAGGTTTCTGACAGTTCTTCTCTTTAGTATGACAAACCTTCTAAAGCTGACAAACAGCTGCTGACATTATGGCCAAATGGCAGCAGCCTCCTGTTGTTTGTTTCAATGTCCAACCCCCATAGCAATTTGCAAATGAACATCAACACAAACAGCTATGTGGAAAACAAGATTGTGGCCTGCACTGCGATGCTGCACAGTGATGTCCTGTATCTCATGTATGACTGCGACACCAGCGCCAATTATACTTTTTCAATTCAATTCAAGGGTGCAGCCGTCTACTGCAACTGGTTGGGGAATAAAAAACACCGTGGAAGACAGCCGGAAATTAGAGCTAGCTTCTTCAATAGTGTTATAACACAATAATGTCAGCTCAGTTACTTGTTTCTCCTCTTCTGTTTCTTGTTTTTTGTCCAGATATAGAGTGAGACTGGTAGATAAGTGGCACTGAGAGAACGAATATCACATTGTTTGGATTTTTCCCTGAAAACTCAGCCTGAGCTCTGTGCTGAGAATGTCCAGCAAGTTGTCTTTTTAAGTTACATTACAATCCACTCACACGTGGAGCTGTTGAATTATTATTATTATTATTATTATTATTGGTTTGAGAGTGTGTTTAGGCCCAACACTCATTCTCCTTTTGGCTCCATCAATTCCTGTGGGAGCACGTCTGTTTTTCTTTTTCTGTACAAAAATAATAAGATGCTTACTTTATCTGTCTCTAATTTATTGATGAGCACTTGGAACTCAATGGATCAACATCAACACTATGCACTATTGTCACTCCAAGCTTTTAAAATATTCATTTTAGTATAAAAGGAATAATTAGAGAGTTTATAATACAATGTGCTGCATTTTTCTCTAAATAGAGTGAATTTAACTCACAACAGAAAGGTTTCATATGCATTTAAAGTCAGGCTACACTTTTTAAAATAATGCAGTGTGTTGCTGTAAAAGTACTGTAAAAGTTGGCTTTACGTACTTTTTTCTGCAAGACATTAATCTTCCTCTCCTTGACGTCCAGCATGTCCTTCATGTCTCTGATTTCTCCCGTTAGTGTGCTCTTTTCATCAGTCAAGTCCTGCAACTGTTTGGTCTTCTTGGTCAGGAACTGCTCCTTCTCCTCCAGACGCACTCGCAGAGCATCTACCTACAATTAACCAAGACAAGAAGTTAAGTGCAGATAGGCAGGTATAACAAAACTGTAAAGGCAGATCAATAGGGACACCGAAAGCAGCATCTGCACAACACAAACACTAACAGTCAAGTAGCAGGAGAGAGAAAAGTGGACGCAATCTTCAGACAGGGTGATAGAAACCAGTATGCACCATATCCAGAATTCATACACAGTCAGACAGACAGGCAACCATACAGGTTGAAAGTAATCTGTAAAAAATAGTTTTGAGGCAGACTGTTTGACGATGAGCGAGAGCTGAGTGACTGACAGGCGAATGTAGAGAAAAGAGGAAGCAAAAAAAGATTAAGAAATGTTACACCGTGATTTTTCCCAGTTCTCGGTCAGGTGGCCCACATGTTATTATTCAGCGCTAGAAATGACATTTCTCACATTTACTTGTTGACGTTTGGAAGTAGTAAAAGTTCAACTCTGACCTAATGTCCATGATTTGAACCACTGCGGACTGAAGCAAAGTGTGTGTGAAAGAGAAAGAGCCAGGAGCCTGTCCTGTCGTTTGTTATTGAGAGTGTTGTGTGATTGGGCCGGTGCTGCCATAGATCAGACCGCTCACACGCTTCACACTCACACATAGAAGTTCGACGTGTCTGGCTAAGTGTAGTGAGATGAGAGATAGCTGTGCACGTTCCAGCACTACTTATTGGACTTGACATACGCAACCGACTCCTTGTTTGTTCTTCTGCAATTTCACTTTATTCCCATGTATAATTTCAGGGGTGTTTTATTTGACTTCAAGAGGACACACACACACATAGATGAAGGGAAGTAACATGAGGCTTGTTAACAGTCATTACTTGGACACAACGTGAACAGTGTGAAAATAGTTAAAGCAAAAACTCTTTTGCTTTCAAACTTATCTCCCAGGTATTTCACAAGGCACTCACTGTGATTCATAAAGGGAGGACGGGCGTTGGAGCAACTGGAGGTAAGATTTAGTCAGTTAGTTAACTTCCCTTTAGGCAACAGTAACACCTAAATCATTATTCTGATGTATAATAATATTGTTGCACAAACTGTGTGTATTAAATTAATGGCACACAAGGGTTTCTGATTAGAACTAGAACGACTGCTATTTTGTTATTGTGCAAATGCCGAGAGAAATTTAAAACCACAAGAATTCAAGACAAAACAAATAATATGAGAGCAATCAGAAGAAAAACATCAATAGCAAAAAAGCAGATATACTGAAGGCACAATTGAAAAGTACAGCTGTGTTGGAGCACAGTTCCTCCCTGCAGATATGTTTATGTACCTGCATGTGTAAAATGAGAGTGTGCCATGCACTCCAGAGACACACAGAGGGGGCCTGTCACTGTGCCATTAGAAGCAGGCCAGGACCCCCAGGTGTAAGATGGCGAAGTATTTATCTCATATTGCTCCTCTGGCAGACAACCAAAGTCTAATACTGAGAACGGCTCTGTCCTCCCAAATTCACATTTACACACAAATGCGCGCACAATAGTGGTGTTATCACCAATCCTTTGCACGTACAGTATACATGCACATACTATGTGTGTGTGTGCATGTTTGCCACTGCATTTATGTGCGTGTGTGAGAGAGCGAGAGACCTCCTCCCCTCCATCTCCACCTGGCAAGGAGCAATTTAGCAAGAATGTAGCAAAGGGGCCTAACAGGAAATCCCTGCTGTCTCACCTGCACTGGCCCACTAAGCTGTGATAGTACTACACAGACTAATACCCTCTTAAAGCACTCAGCGCTGCGAGACACAGTACATGGAAAAACAGGGAGAGAGTTGGATGATGAGATGCGGAGGGACAAATGAAAGGACAGATAATAGTACGGGTGAAAGCAAGGGACATAATAAATGAATGAAGGTGGATAGGGTACGGCCTGTTGTGGACACAGCATTTGGACTGAGCATGTTAACACCACCGGCATACTGCTGTTTCACTGGCTACCACTCCAACAGCAGGAAATACTGTATGGCTTTATCAGCTGGCACACATGCTGAGATGATAGACGGCTAACTGCACACAGTGATTAACCTCTCTCTTCTCCCTCAATTTCCGCTCCAATTTTCCTTTTCTTCTGCTGCCCTTCTTCCTTGTGTCATCTTTCAAAAACACCTCTCGCTCTCTCTCGCTCTCTTCCCCTGTGGCTACCACCTCTCTTTCAACACTCCATCCCTCCAACCATGCTGCACACTCTCCAGGAGATTTCCTATTGCCATTTAAAGGCAACGGTCCTGCAGCGAGACAGAGTGATGTGTCAGTGTGAGAAATCCCTGAAGTCTTCAAATCAGGTTGTCTTTGGTACAGACCCACATTTCCCCAAGCATAACATTGTAGGTTTGCGCCTTTCAGTGCAGATTTGAGGGAGATGATATGCAACACAGAACTCCTGCTGTCTCCAAGACAACCACGGTATTGATTCTACCTACACGAGCGGACACCAGGGACTATATCCTGTTTTGTAATCGTGACGTTTCTTTAGCAGAAAAAGAGAAAGGTCAGGGAGAGGAGTAGAAAAGACGCTGCTGTCCAGCCTGGCTTCGTTCAAATCTAAAGGGAACACTGGAGACTGCCCTGAGAAGTTCTGCTGAGTTGATGAATTAAAAACACATCTATATCACCCCACCTTCCTCCAAAAAAACCCACTTAAACTTTCCAGTCCCTCACTCAGCACCCCATAATTTAAAAAAAATATCTTGATATGTTTTCAACATTCTGTGGTTGCAAAACTATTAATTCTTGGCAAACCCCGGATTTTGTTTAAATTAATTCATTCCCAAATTTGTAACTACTCTAACGTGCGCACACATATGTATATTCAACAAATCTCAAGGCACAAAACTGTATCTGTAATTAAATATGCAAACAGCACGCACAAACGCATAAACACACTCTGATTAAATTCCTCCTTCTTGCTTGCAATGACAGCCAAATGTAGGTTCTGGAAATTGGTTAGCGGAGTAAAACAGAGGCTTAAAGAAAACAGTTTCACTGTTTGTCCTCACCTCCCTTTTCCCTGCCTCACATTTCATCATAAAAGTTTTTTTGGCAGGCAAATCTGCAAAGGTATTGGGCCCATCGTCGGCTCTGGGCCGCAATAAACAACACAGGGACTATATGAGTAGACCACAGTCAAGACAGCAGAACCAGAGAGAGTGAAAACCTGTAAGACCACAGCCGAGGTCTGGGGACACACCAACACTTGCGCAGTAACGTTTGCACTCTCACTCACACACTTGGGAGTCCAATATTGCAAATAGAGTCTTAGGTTGATCAGAAAAACATCCGTCATATGTTTTCCATTGTCCCAATCTCAGTCTTTAAAAATCTATGACCTTTACAGAAGCTCATATCCAAACCATCAGCTATATTCATTCGTGTGTGTGTGTGTGCGTGCGTGCGTGTGTGTGTGTGTGTGTCTTAAAACAAGTTTGAATGTCACTTCAACTGAAAACACACCATTAAAGCTCTTAAATCCCAAGGAAAGGGTCTGATGAAATGTATCTAATGCCTGAACTAAGATCTTCTTGGCCTGCTGTGGTGCACCACACACAGCTGTGTCAGCTATTCACTTCTCTGGCTGCATCTCTAGCCTTTATAAATACACCACACGGCACCCATTAGATTTAATTTATTCAAAGGCCTGTGCAGTGAAACTAATCATCTCAATTTATGGCCTAATTCAGGTTTGTCAAGCCACTGATGAGCCCAAGTCAGAATTTCATCACTAAAATTTTGAAGACAATGCTAGACCACCAAAGTCTCGCATGCTACCTATTATCATCTCTTTGGTGAGATGTACTTTACGCATCGAGACAAACCAACACATATGATGCAGAAGGAATGAGAATGAATGCAGACAGCTGGATTTAAGCAGCCTATCGGTGTTTTCATGCTGACTAATATCTGCATTATTAAAGACTGCTGAGAGGTGAACAAAAACCCCACAAGGATATATAGAGAACAGTAACTCACACCGCTGGTATATAAGCACCAGGTTATATGTCTTTTATTTATACAGAGCGGCATCAAGTGATCCATAGTTTCATGTTGATGTAACTGAAGCCTTCAATAGATGTCGGGAGGTTACAAATACTGTAAGAGTAGCCGCCTGAAGACCAAAGGATGTTTTTTGTTTTAATTGTGCATGTTGACGTGCTCAGTGTGTGAGCGTGTGAATAGGGGGGCGTTGTCAGATGGAAGTATGAAGAACTTTACACAGAAAATGTAAACAAGCCTGGACTTCTAGACCCTACACTGTTTATTTACACACAGAAGGCACTTAAAGACCATTTTTATAGTGTTTGGTACTTTTTTCCATGTCCATACAGCTCAAACCGAGGACCACCGGAGTTCGTAGGACTCCTTTTTGGGGTATTTCCTTCTATAGAGGAGGAACTGCCTCAGCACAAGAGGAACTTTGCATGATGTGATGTATTGTGACTGGTCCTGACCAGCGTTATTGTAGTTTTACATCGTTATTTCATTTTAATTATGAAATTACATTTTGTTTTACTAGTGTGTATTCGCTCATTTCAGTTTCGCATATAAGACAAATTTATAGAGAACACAAAAACAACACTTTTGACTCACATCCTGTCTCAATAAATATATGCTGCAGTGCTTCCCTGTGCTTGTTTTGACAACTGATTTGACTAAATGATCAAAGACTAAAATGTAAGATATCTCCCACCCATCCATCCATCAATACATCCATTTATACAGTGGGGCAAAAAAGTATTTAGTCAGCCACCGATTGTGCAAGTTCCCCCACTTAAAATGATGACAGAGGTCAGTAATTTGCACCAGAGGTACACTTCAACTGTGAGAGACAGAATGTGAAAAAAAAATCCATGAATTCACATGGTAGGATTTGTAAAGAATTTATTCGTAAATTAGGGTGGAAAATAAGTATTTGGTCACCTCAAACAAGGAAAATCTCTGGCTCTCACAGACCTGTAACGTCTTCTGTAAGAAGCTTTT